TGTGTTGTGTATTGATATATTGTGTTGTGTTCTATATTAATACATTGTGTTGTGCATTGATACAATGTGTTGTGTGTATTCAATTGTATTAATACATGTGTTGTGTTGTGTATTGATACATTGTCTTGTCATTGTGTTGTGTACTGATTCATTATGTCGTGTATTGATTCATTGTGTTGTGTACTGAATGTGTTGTGTACTGATTCATTATGTTGTGTTTTGATTCATTGTGTTGTGTATTGATTCATTGTGTTGTGTATTGATTCATTGTGTTGTGTATTGATTCATTGTGTTGTGTCCTGAATGTGTTGTGTACTGATTCAATGTGTTGTGTATTGATACATTGTGTTGTGTACTGATTCATTGTGTTGTGTACTGATTCATTGTGTTGTGTATTGATTCATTGTGTTGCGTATTCATTCATTGTGTTGCGTATTGATTCATTGTGTTGTGTGTATTGATTCATTGTGTTGTGTATTGATTCATTGTGTTGTGTATTGATTCATTGTGTTGTGTATTGATTCATTGTGTTGTGTATTGATTCATTGTGTTGTGTACTGAATGTGCTCTGTACTGATTCAATGTGTTGTGTATTGATTCATTGTGTTGTGTATTGATTCATTGTCTTGTGTATTGATTCATTGTCTTGTGTATTGATTCATTGTCTTGTGTATTGATACATTGTGTTGCGTTGTGTATTGATTCATTTTGTTGTGTATTGATTCATTGTGTTGTGTATTGATTCATTGTGTTGTGTATTGATTTATTGCGTTGTGTTGTGCATTGATTCATTGTGCTGTGTATTGATTCATTGTGTTGTGTATTGATTCATTGTGTTGTGTTGTGTACTGATTCAATGTGTTGTGTATTGATTCATTGTGTTGTGTATTGATACATTGTGTTGTGTTGTGTATTGATTCATTGTGTTGTTTTGTGTATTGATTCATTGTGTTGTGTTGTGTAATGATTCATTGTGTTGTGTATTGATTCATTGGGTTGTGTATTGATTCATTGTGTTGTGTATTGATTCATTGTGTTGTGTATTGATACATTGTGTTGCGTTGTGTATTGATTCATTGTGTTGTTAATTGATTCATTGTGTTGTGTATTGATTTATTGCGTTGTGTTGTGCATTGATTCATTGTGCTGTGTATTGATTCATTGTGTTGTGTATTGATTCATTTTGTTGTGTTGTGTACTGATTCAATGTGTTGTGTATTGATACATTGTGTTGTGTTATGTATTAATACATTGTGTTGTGTTCTATATATTAATACATTGTGTTGTGTATTGATACATTGTGTTGTGTTGTCTATAATACATTATGTTTTGTTCGTGTTTGCAGCTAAATATTAAAAGTGTTAGAGTTTCTTATTTCCGTCAGTTTAAATAAACTGAACACGTTTAAATCTCACTTTTAACTATTTTGTACATACCAGCCCCCGGCTTACAGACAAGTTCAACACGTGTCTTCCTAACGGGTACAACCGGCTCAACCACGGGTATAAAAGCCGCAGTGACGCAAGACACAACAACCGACTCCGACACAAAAACATCAACTCATTCAACCACAGATCCATCATCCTCTCCGACCACATATCCATCAACCTCTCCGACCACAAATAAATCAACCCCTCCGACCACAGATACATCAACCCCTCCGACCACAGATACATCAACCCCTCCGACCACTGATACATCAACACCTCTGACCACAGACAAATCGACTCCTCCGACCACTCATACATCAACACCTCCGACCACTGATACATCAACCCTCCGACCACTGATACATCAACCCTCCGACCAAATATACATCAACTCCTCCGACCACTGATACATCAACCCCTCCGACCACTGATACATCAACTCCTCCGACCACTGATACATCAACCCCTCCGACCACTGATACATCAACCTCTCCGACCACTGATACATCAACCCTTCCAGCCACTGATACATCAACACCTCCGACCACTGATACATCAACTCCTCCAACCACTGATACATCAACCCTCCGACCATATATACATCAACTCCTCCGACCACTGATACAACAACCCCTCCGACCACTGATACATCACCCCCTTCGACTAAATATACATCAACTCCTCCGACCACAGATACAACAACCCCTCCGACCACTGATACATCAACTGCTCCGACCACTGATACGTCAACCCCTCCGACAACTGATACGTCAACCTCTCCGACCACTGATACATCAACTCCTCCGACCACAGATACATCAACCCTCCGACTAAATATACATCAACTCCTCCGACCACAGATACAACAACCCCTCCGACCACTGATACATCAACCCCTCCGACCACTGATACATCAACCCCTCCGACCACTGATACATCAACCTCTCCGACCACTGATACATCAACCCCTCCGACCACGGATACATCAACACCTCCGACCACTGATACATCAACCCCTCCGACCACTGATACATCAACCCCTCCGACCACTGATACATCAACCCCTCCGACCACGGATACATCAACCCCTCCGACCACATCAACATCAACCCCTCCGACCACTGATACATCAAGCACCTCCGACCACTGATACATCAACCCTCCGACCACTGATACATCAACCCTCCGACCACTGATACATCAACCCCTCCGACCACTGATACATCAACTCTTCCAACCACTGAGACATCAACCCCTCCAACCACTGATACATCAACCCCTCCGACCACTGATACATCAACCCCTCCGACCACTGATACATCAACCCTCCGACCACTGATACATCAACCCTCCGACCACTGATACATCAACACCTCCGACCACTGATACATCAACCCCTCCGACCACTGATACATCAACCCCTCCGACCACTGATACATCAACCCCTCCGACCACTGATACATCAACCCCTCCGACCACTGATACATCAACCCTCCGACCACTGATACATCAACCCTCCGACCACTGATACATCAACCCCTCCGACCACTCATACATCAACCCCTCCGACCACGGATACATCAACCCCTCCGACCACTGATACATCAACCCTCCGACCACTGATACATCAACCCCTCCGACCACTGAGACATCAACCCCTCCGACCACTGATACATCAACCCCTCCGACCACTGATACATCAACCCTTCCGACCACTGATACATCAACTCTTCCAACCACTGATACATCAACCCCTCCGACTACTGAGACATCAACCCTTCCAACCACTGATACATCAACCCCTCCGACCACTGATACATCAACCCCTCCGACCACTGATACATCAACCCCTCCGACCACTGATACATCAACTCTTCCAACTACTGAGACATCAACCCCTCCGACCACTGATACATCAACACCTCCGACCACTGATACATCAACCCTCCGACCACTGATACATCAACACCTCCGACCACTGATACATCAACCCTTTCGATCATACATCAACCTTCCAACCACTGATACATCAACCCTCCGACCACTGAGACATCAACCCTTCCGACCACTGACTCAACCCTTTCAACCACTGATACATCAACCCTCCGACCACTGATACATCAACCCTCCGACCACTGATACATCAACCCTCCGACCACTGATACGTCAACTCTTCCAACCACTGATACACATCAACCCCTCCGACCACTGATACATCAACTCTTACCACTGATACATCAACCCCTCCGACCACTGATACATCAACCCCTCCGACCACTGAGACATCAACCCCTCCGACCACTGAGACATCAACCCCTCCGACCGATGATACATCAACCTCCACAACAACGGATACAACCACAGAACAAGCAACAACAAGTATGTCGACTACTTCTGCCACCGGAACCACACCTACAACATCTACAGAGGGTGCCTCAACAGAGTCTACTTCAACTGAAGTCACATCATTGAGTACAGGTAGGATAGTGCTCAATACACGTAGGTAACATTACTTCCTTGTTACACTGTACGTTTCTATGTCCTATCTGAAACAACACGTTAACATCTGCACGCATAAGAATGCGGTGTTGAACCAACAAGAAGCTAAGAAAAGCGATACCATTAATACCTGTTGTATAGGTTAATCAAAACAAATTACTGCGTATTTCAATTTAACAGCAGTTGACTGTTGATTCTTGGGTAACCGAAGATTGTTTTTGTCGCTCATTTAAATGCCTGTTAAAACATTAACCACATGTGTTGACTCCTCTAGCATGGTTGTATGTATTTGTATGCAAGGCAGTGTTGTGTTACTGTATGGCTGGAATGTGAGAGGTGCTGGTATGACTAATGTGTGCAATACGGAACAGAGATGTAGATGTCTGACCGGTGTTCGAGCATGTTAACAAGTTATAACAAGTTGACGAGCATGTTAACAGGTCCTAACAATTACATGCTTCACCCAGTTAAAGGTGAGTGTTTCAGTATCCAGTCAAAAACGTCCACCACTGACGGCTGTGAGCAGTAAGTTTATGGTTTAGTACCATATGATACATCAATAAAGTACTATATGATACATCAATACACAGCTACCCGATGTATCAATATGCATGTATAATGGCGTTATCTACCCCACCGTCAAAAGGGAGTCAAGGTCAACTCAGAATTTGCCTTTTTAAAAAAATATATGACCCGACACTCAATTCTTTGACATCGTTACTACTCAACTTTTAAGGGGGTAATTGAACACATGATTTTATTTAAATATACACATAAATGATTGTGAGTATCATTTTTGTGTGTTATGGAGAGATGTAAAACTGTTTGATAATTTTATTGATATTAAACTTATTAAAGCAGTTTCAAACCTATTGACGAATTTTAAGGAATACTTTGAGAACTATTTCTTCAAGGGTTGGGATACATGTGTAAAAACATCGCCAAGTATACAAACATCGCTACAATCTTGATCAGAATGACATTACAACATTTTTACAGGTATTAAAACACATCACTGTAAACAATGATCATGTAGAAGTGGGTATAAAACGTATGTGTAAACATCAAAGTGCGAAATTATAAGAATTGAATGTCACTTTGTGTGTTTGCACTGAAAAATGAACGATGTCATTAAAACCCGGATCTGTTTATCCATTAAACTCGCTCTTTCACACGAGTTTGAACAACGCTTTGACATCGTTCATTTTTCAGTGCAAACACACAAAGTGACATTCAATTCTTAAATGTTGATACCGTTCACACACGCTCAACTTTTAAGGGATAATTCAATGTATGATTTTTTTAGATATACACAAAAATGATTGTGAGTATCATTTTTGTGCGTTATGGAAAGATAACAAATGTCCCTATGAACATTGGATTAAAATGAACATATCTGTATATTGTCTGTGATAACACAATGTTGATACCGTACAAACACGCTTAACTACACGACTTTTTAAGAGATAATTGAAGTTATTATTCTATCTAAATAACACATGAATGATTGTGAGTATCATTTTTGTGTGCTGTGGAGAGATAAAAAATGTCCCCATGTACAGTGGATTATAAATGAATACATCTGTATATTGTCTGTGATAGCACAATGTTGATACCGTACAAACTACTCAACTTTTTAATCTTGAGATACTAGTAATTGAATGTATGATTCTTTCTTAATAAACACATAAATGATTGTGAGTATCATTTTTGTGTGTTATGGAGAGATGAAAATGTCCCCATGTACAGTGGATCATAGATGAATATATCATATCTGTGATAACACAATGTTGATACCGTACAAACACGCTCAACTTTTTAATCTTGAAATAATTGAATGTATGATTCTAGTATCTAAATAACACATGAATGATTGTGAGTATCATTTTGTGTGCTGTGGAGAGATACAAAATGTCCCCTTGTACAGTGGATTATAAATGAATACACCTGTATATTGTCTGTGATAACACAATGTTGATACCGTACACACACGCTTAACTGTTTGACTTGTGTATACTATTTATAGAACATTCATTTATCCGGAGGTCTTCATTGCTAACGGTCTGGTACAACGGGGTTTTGCAGAAGATGTTATGTCTCCTGGGGTTCCTTACATATGCCCCTCACTCATTCTAACGCGCCCTTCTCTTCTCCACAAATGAGTCTGTTCAACACGTCCTTTATCCTCAGGCAGTGTAGGAAGCTTTATGTTAGGTAAGTGAAACAAATAAACATTTTCAGTACAAACAGAGATCTGGTAATCAGCGTGTTTTTATTTCTGCGTTTCTCACCGCCCGACCGACTGACCTATCGACTACTGTTTCAATTGCTTCCTTCCTGTGACAGTTCTGGGCTGAAGACTAGGTCGGGGACAAGTAACCATTTCTCAGCAAGGCCGAGCGCCAGGTATTACCATTCTTCTTCCTTTACATTTCATTTATTGAGACACTATCATATATATTTTACAAGTCAAAAAACGTTTTCATAACACATGTGTCTATCTTTGTAACATCTGATTCTATCTGTTTTTATGTTCTCTGCTGTTTTTTCCCTTGCTGTTCTCTGCTTTTGCTGGCAAATTTGACACCAAACCATTTGCTTCATACACTTTTGTATTTCCTGAATACCGAAGAAAACAGAGCTAAATTTTTCCCGATGAAAATTTCCTATAGCTGTCCTAAACAGGCAAAGTTAAAGATGTTTGCTTTTCTGGTTTAGATATGAACAAAAGACTTTAAAATTCGTCATTCTCTTTATTTTAAACCGACCGACCGACCAAAACTTAATAACACGCGACACACGAAACACAAAAATATTCTGCCTTAATTATGACACATTATAGTTATGCATATATAAATCTAATAAATATAGGAAACCGCATTGTTAGGAGAGCCAGTATTGTTTCTATGTTTCTAGACAAAAACAGAGGTCAACTCTAACTGTAAATGTTACACTTTCTCAGGGGAATATTGTGTTTCCTATAATACTGCTTCACTGAATTATGTATGCATTGTGTGTTAAGAAGGATACGGCAATCGATGTTTCGACAGACATGTGCCTGAACGTATTCAGCACACTTCAACTGATGCAGCATGCTGTTGGTGGATTCTGGTATCCGCTGCTTCCTGTCTGTCACTGATGCTGCAGCCATACAGGGGTATCGGATGTGTTGGCTGACACAACGACCAATGGTTCAATCCTCAGGAATCGGATGTCTGATATGATGTCCTTCATCGTTTCCTTTAATGAAAAGTACTATCCTGTGTGGAGTTTTGACAGCATTGTCTCTGTAACGCGTGGATGCGACCTTTCATCACTTCACATATTTAGCACATCACTGAATATACAATAGCTTAGAATGTACCCATCTGTTCATACCTTGTACAGTACCTGATACCATTTTGGTCAAATACCTTTCAATTTTTTTATTTATAGGACGGATTTTTATCATAAGGACGCCACGTCTCTTAATATATTTATGGCTACATTTGTTATTATTTAACTTGTATAGGTAGTGTAGTGTAAATAGATAAGCTTTCTTTGTGTTGTCCTTCTCACAGGGTCCATGCTT